TATGAAACGCACCATTACATGAAATTAAGAACATCGGGAAAACTAGGTTTTATGTCTTTAAAACTTGACATGAGTAAGACATTCGATAGAGTAGAGTGGTCCTTTATATGTGAGATTATGAAAGCTTTAGGTTTTCATGCTTCCTTTATAAGTTTAATATATAAATGTCTGTCTTCAGTGTCATTTTCATTTTTATTAAATGGTAGTTAGTTTGGTCACCTTATACCTGAAAGAGGTATCTGAAAAGGAGACCCACTGTCTCCTTACCTCTTTATAATCTGTTCAGAAGTGTTCTCATGTATACTTAGTGATTTGCAGGCTTGTAGGAAAATACATGGGGTGGCAGTGAATCATTGTGCTCCCTCAATCTCACATTTGTTTTTCGCAGATGACACATTGCTCTTTGGTCAGGCTACGGAAGAGGAAGCTAAGCAATTTAAATATGCTATTGAGTTATATGAAAAAGTTTCAGGCCAGTGCGTTAATTAGGATAAATCAGGGGTGTTTTCAGTCCAAATACTGATGAAGAGATGTAGCGCAAAATTCTGTCCATCCTAGGTTTTCAGAAGGTGGAGAAGCATGGCAAGTATTTAGGCCTACCTACTGTCTCTAGAAGAAGCAAGAAGGAGTTATTTGACCAAGTGACTAATCGAGTATGGAAGCGCATTTCAGGCTGGAAAGAGAAGCAACTTTCAAAAGGTGGTGAGGAGATCTTGATCAAGAGTGTTCTTCAAGCGATCCGACGTATACTATGTCAAGTTTCAAGTTACCAAATTCAGTTATGCACAAGCTGAATTCTATGTGTTCCTCATACTGGTGGGGAGACGTTGGCGACTAAAGGAAGATGAGGAGGTTGAAGTGGAGTAAATTGTCGCAGCCAAAAGCCGCTGGTGGTCTAGGGTTTCACGACTTAGAGTTCAACTTAGCCCTTTTGAGTAAACAAGTTGGGCGCATTCTCACTTGGTGTAGTATAATCAATGGCAAGAACACTTTACTGTTGGGATGTCGGAAGAGAATTAATTCTGGACATAATACAAACATTTGGATGGACCGTTGGATTACTTGTACTGCAGATTTTCAAAGTCATAGTGGTTTCTGTCTTACAACCTAATGTTGTTGTTGCCGATTTGATTGATACTTCTACAGGTAACTGGAACGTGAATGTAGTTCGATGCATTTTCAGACCTGAAGAAGCTGAGAGTATTCTTTCGATGATTCCTAGTAACCGACATGCTAGTGATAAATGGATTTGGCACCGCTCTCTAAATGGAAGATTTAGTGTTAAACTTTCTTACAATGCATTAATGCTATCTCCACCTGCTCCATCAGATAACCATCCTTCTACATTTTTATCTGTTGGGGATTCTTCCTTTTGGACCAAATTATGGAAGCTGAAACTCCCAAACAGAATAATCCATTTCCTTTGGCCCTGTGCGACTGACTCTCTGCCTTCTTTGCAAAATTTTGCGAAACACGGATGCTTCCTTGACACTCCATGTTCTCTTTGTGGTACTGCAACTCCAACAACATTGCATACTTTTATCTCTTGTCCATTTGCAGAACAATTGTGGATTCTAGGCCTGTTCATTGGGTCGGGTTGTACCCGACCCGACCGACCCGAATTTGTTTTATTACATTCGGTCAAAAAAAATTCGGTTGTTTTGGTTATATTTTGACTACACTCAAATGAGTCCCAGTACTGTAAACACACCCGAATGAACATTTCTTAGTTTCTCTTCCACCCATTTTCACTCGTAATCTTCTTCCTCAAATCCATCATCGGCGGCAACCTTCCTCAAACCAATCGTCGGCGACCTTCTAACACCCATTTTCACCCGTAATCTTCTCCCTCAAATCCATCATCGGCGGCAATCTTCTTCCTCCCTCAACACAGATCGGTCATGCATCATTCCTTTTTCCAGATCTAGCCGATTCACCTCTTCGATTCACTCTCCAAATCCAATCACCGGCGACCTTTCTCAAATCCAATCGTCGTTGACCTTCCGACACCCGTAATCTTCCTCCCTCAACACATATCGGCATACGAGATTCTGCTTTCATGTCCTAACGGTCTCTCTCCCTTGCAGGTTTCTGAAATTAATTGTTTGATCGATTTTCATTCTTTGTGGTTATACTTTCAGCTAATTGGAGCTTCTGGGTAGCTATAATATTATGTTCCCGTTTTTTTTTTGTGGGAGGTTTTAATTTATTTCAAGAATTTTTGTTTTGTCAATTGTTAATTATGTTATCGGCCTTGAATTTTGATTTTGAAGGTGACTGTTGATCTTAATGAGGCCTATGATAGAATTCCTCACCCAGATGCTGATTTAGAGAACTCCATTTCTGAGGTTATATGCTTTTCTGGACTTGAGTGATTGCATTTTTATTTTTTGTGGCCAAAATCACATGTAATTTGTTCATGATCTGCATCCTTGGGTTATGTACCTTTTCTTTTGTTCATTAGAATACTTTTTCAGGTTACCTTTTCTTTTTGAATGTTCATATGCGTTATGTACCTTTTAATTCACCGCGGCAGATAAACAAAATACTTGCATGGATTAGTTAGCCTACAATCTACATTGGCAATTATTTAGAGCACAAGTGAAATGTAGTAGTGCTGGTGGGGAAAAATCATTATTTCTTTGGGGAGTTTCTAAAAGGTTATGATTTCGAGCAAGTTAAACTGTTGTTTCGCATTTGTTTCCGCAAGAGCACTATTCATGAAAAATCTTCCTAATTGAAGAAGATTGAAACTATGTTTATTGTATCTTTTGATTTCTGCTTCACATTAGAGTCATTTAGTTGCACTAGTTGAAAATTGAGAACATCTATGCAAGAAAAGGATATTCTTGCTAGTAGAAATGAGAAGATTTAACTTACTTTTCTCGATTCTTTGCCCTTCTTATTTCTTACACCCGGTTGTGCAATTTTTGAAAAGAAATCTGGAAAGGTTATCGGTAGAGGTTTAAATAGATGAGTTTAAAGAACTCGGAAATAAAATGAAATGAAAAAAAAGTATATATCGATAGCTAAATTCTTAGGCAACCATTTCAAAGTAATGACCAACCCTTTTGCAGATTTTATCGTGTTTCCTCTTTGTTTGAAGATAGTCTGTGTCAATTGATAAAAGTTGACTGCGTTATCGAGTTGATTTTGTTACATGATCGATAGCCGCATTCCAAAAGCGAAGTTCACGAAACTAGATTCCTGGATATATTGAAGAGCGGAGTCATCCCGGCTTGAGCAACTTGTAGTCTTGAGTTGCCCGCGACTTGAGTCTTCTTTTTGAAGGAATTCCAGCTGCTGCAGTCAGATCGAGATGGTTTGGTGCAGCCCTTTTGCCTTAACTTTTGTCAACCAAATCCTAGATTTGCATGGTGATATTTTTGGCAACTCTCGGTGTAGTGTCACTATTGTTATATAGTTCCAAATTATAAAATGTGTTGAGTGTATTATGTATTGCTGGTGGATTATTAAACATTCATGTCTGCACTCTCTTATGAACACCATTTTGATTACTTTGGAGTTTTGGAGTACTTTCCCTGGTTGCCTTTTCTTTCTTATGTTAAAATGGTGATTGATCTGTGCCTATATAATTCAATATTTTGCGGGTTTACCCGATTACCCGACCGGAAACCCGAATAACCGAACAAGTTATTCGGGTTGTTAGTTAGATAACAGCATGATTTGATTCGGGTCGACCCGTTTTCCACCCGAGGACCCGAAAAACCGAATCTCTTGACCCGAAACCCGTTATTTTGACCCGAATGAACAGGCCTAGTGGATTCTATCTGACTTATGAAATGAAGTTCTTGTGCATAATCGACCCCGGTGGGATTTGTGTGTCAGAGAGATCATCTTGCAATGTGAGAAATCAATTGCTAAATCTTTTGGTGTCTTTTGCAATCAATTATGGACCACTCGTAATGACAGCTTATTCAATAACCACTTGACTTCACGAAGAAATTTGGTAACAAGTGCAGCTACTTCGCTACATGAATTTAAAGTAGCAAATAATCAGCCTGAAGGTTGGTCTGCTGCTTTGCGTTCTAAGTATTTGTTCCCACCAAAAAATTTACAAACTTGCATATTTTTTTGATGGAGCTCTCTCACGGATCCGAAATTGCATTGGTATGGGAGTTTATATTCGTGATCAGCAAGGCAAATTTGTAGCTGCAAAAGGTCGCTGTATGTATGGTTTTACTTCTTTCGAACTTGCTGAATTTATGGCTTTGAAGGATGTACTTTTGCTAATGAAGGAGCTTAATCTCGACAGTGCCACCATTATATGTGACTCTTCTGTGGCGGTTTTGGCGGCTATGGGGAAAGCTGATTGTTCCTCTCTTTGTTTACTGGTGTTACACGAGATTAGACAACTATTGATAGATCTTTCCTTCAAATCCATATATTGGATTCCACATCGAGAAAATGAAGTAGTTCATGTCATAGCTGCTTATGTAAAATCATATGTAATAAATGATATAACTTGGTTTTCTACACCGAATTATTTGTATCATTTAGGGTTAGCTGATTTTTAGCAAGTTTAAAATATTCTCTTTTCTAAAAAAATAAAAATGGAGGGTGTTTTACCACATGTAGCGTCTTTTTCTTTTCCCTTGTGTAAAATTCATGCAGTACCTGAATGAATCAAATCAGATCAGTTTGTACAATTAAGCTTCGGTGTTTGTTTGGATTGTGTACAATTCAGGATAATTAATTTTCAGGTCTTCCCAATACAAGACCCCATCTTTACTACAAACTAAACATTTTCATTAAGAAAACTAAATTTGACAAAAATGCATGCATTAAAAGATTAAACCATCCATAAAGTAAGGAATTGAATAACAAGAACAAGAACGTAACATTTCTCAACTTAAAATATTAATAAATTTACAAATAAATGCACATTGATCAACCAAATTAAATCTTACTAAACTAACTTCACAAAATTCACTCACTATATAAATCACCCGAACATCTCCTCAATTCCAACATCAACCCACAAGTTGAAAATTGCTTCAACACATTAATCTACCATATACTACCAGCTTAATTTATATAGCTTCTTCAGCTTTGTTTTAGAACTAAGGAAAAGGGAACATGGCTCGATTTTCTTCTGCCGTATCAGTCACCAGATTTGTCACCGTGGTTGTCTGCCTAGCCATTTGGGCTCCGGCAGCATGCTCCGGCGACGTAATCCAGGCCGACGGGGTGAACTTTCTGGGCTTACCATGGGGCCTTCCATGCCTGCAAGCTGTGTTAGGAACCGAAGGATGCGTTCAAGAGTTGGTTTCCTCATTTCTGAGTCTTCAGCCCAGATTTCTTGGGCCTGAATGTTGCAAAGCATCCGTCACTGTTGATGATAATTGCTGGCCCAAGATCTTTCCGCTCAACCCATTTTTCCCACCACTTCTCAAGAGCTTTTGCCTTTCCGAACTTCATCCATGATTCGTAGAAAATGAACTATTTTCTTTTGCAGTCTTGCAACTAGTTTTATTTGCCTTATCACTTGTTTCCTTTGGCCATTTCGAAATAGAAAAAACGTCAAAAAATCGATCAAAGAGGGCTACAATTATTATTATTATATTACAATATTTTCCTAGCTAGAATACTTCATGTTTGGAGATGCTAGTTTAGCCAAATTAGTAGCCCGTTAAATGCGAATGTCTTCAAATCGGCGAATATAAAGGTTTGAATTCATTCTCTTTATGTAATTTTTCGATTTGTTAGTATCAAATGAAATGCAAACGATGTCTAAGAAGGGTGCAATGTATTTTTTTTTTTTCTTTTTGGAGAATGGGATGCGATGTTATTTATGTCTGATTATTTAAATGATTTCTTCGTTTACAACTGTATATTCAATTCATTGACTTAACATAAAATTCAAGAATAATTCCGAGTTCAATTATACTAAATGGTTATTTTAAAAGTGTTAAATAGATTATTCCTTGTAATAAAAATAAAAAGATCTAAACATTTAGATATTCGAAATACAATTTTTGAAATGTTTATAAAAATGGTGACTATCTTAAATTTGAAAATAATTTATGATTATTTGACAAATAAATTTCAAGTCGAAATCACAAATATGATATCGTACTATCCCAGTTAAAAATGGGAATTATAAATGGTTAACCACTCTTATTCACAAACAAGCAAAACACGTTTTTCCTCATTTCTTTTTCCTCCATTTTATAATTTTTGAAATGATTCTTGACGAGCGCAGACTGGATGTGGACCAAAACAAAGAAATATACTCTGTTCTTCTTATTAGCCATGGATTATGGCTAAGATTTATGCATCAAAGACCTCAGTTGTACCAAGTGGCTTTATGCACTTCCCCACTTCCGATCCCAACTTTTAAATACCAACAAAAAAATGTCAAAATCAGAGTTCTCAGCCATGGAGATACAATTTCAAATCGCCTTTGATCAAGCAAATCACTTTTCATGACAAAAACTTCAAGTAATCCAGAATGACGGGGGCTATTAAAGCCTTACCAACATTACCAACTTCACGATTATTGGTTGAGGGTCTTAAGACTCCAAAATCGAATCAATTTAACAACTGGGTTCCTCCATTTCATCCTCACGGTGTCAGATACTCGGAGCCCAGATGGGGATTTCGTGTTTCTTTAGTCGCTAACACTTCATCTGCTGGGGTTTCATCGGAGTTTGATTCCGGGGCGTTTCCGCATTCCCAAGACAAGATAGAGCACATTGAGACCAATCTGGAAAAGGTAATATGATTATAGTGATGTCTTCTTGTTTTTTTAAGGAATATAGCAATATAGCTTGGTGATTTTGGATTTACCAGAACATGGTACTCATGATTAGACATTTTTGCAGGTTATATATGGCTGTCGTTTCTTTGCTATTCTTGCAGTTTGGGGCTCTTTGCTGGGATCTTTCCTTTGTTTCATTAAGGTAATCCTATCCTTTGATCCTATCCCCGCTGTCTTCAGTTGTTAGATCATTGTTGCTCCAGTTATACCATGTGTAATTTCTTCACACCGTTGAGTTAGCTTTTAACCGAATAAAGCAAAATAATCTGAACTTTGTTGTCTAAGTGGAAAACAATGGAGGAGTTTTAGAAATTAGCAAATGTCCAGATTCTCTGACTAGTCAACAGCAATCTAAAGATCCTGTTATGTTACAGTCTTTCATGATTCCAAAACTTAGTGAACCACAAAGAATTGTACGATTAATACATTAAATTTGCCGCTAGGTTGTAGATCTGTAAAAAAATAGTTGGGGGATCTAGAGTTGGTATTCTTTGAATTAAAGGTCAAGTTTGATCTGGACAGGAATTTGGTCTTGATCAATATTTAACTTAAGGAAAAGTAGGAATCTTTCTGAAATAGGATGAATATACAGAGCAGGAGATGGTTAGAGATGTCATTGTCTGCCGCTAATATTCTCCAGAATATTGTCTCATTTGATTCCTTTCTTGACCAGAAGATCCTTCTATGGTAAAAGTTTAATCATTTTGATGCTCTAGATTGTGGCATCTGTTGTGCATAAAGAGATGATTTTATCCTAGTTTTAGTGTTCCGGAGACCCCCAAGGCATAGTTTTTCTGTTGGGACTTGTGGTTTTTGTCCCAACTTAAATGGAATATTCACCAAGTTAGGGCCACTATGGTTTTTACACTTAAAAGAAATGCTTGGACCTCTAGCACTAAGTTTGTTTCCTGAATAATGGTATCTGCGACAGACTTCTACATTGAAAGCTGGGATATAATGAGAAGAATATGTAAGCATCATGATGGGAGAATAAAATAAATGAGAATGTTAAGATGGAGGTGCAAGCTTATGATTCTATATAAAGGAACATGAAATACATGAAACTGAATTAGAACAGTCGTATTGACTGAGAAAAAGAGTGATAAATGATTCTTATAGCCGACTTTAGATGTGCCCTGCATACTGAGATGAAGTTTAGTTTCCGGTGTATAGTTTGGTTGCAGAATTTGATGGAATCTTGCTCATGTTGATGGAAGTTCTTGACTTATTTAAAAAACAGCTTCTTTAAAAATTTCCACACCATCAGTGGGTTTGTTTAGAGAATAATTGAACCAGAACATGTTATATCTCTAATAAAAATAATTTGATCATCTTCAGAATATGTTTATGCGTCTCTATATAACTTTGTCCTGATACAATGGCTTGTAAGATTATTGTAATTGCGTGTTTTTGTTGCATACAGGGTTGCGGTTATGTTGTAGCTTCATTCCAAGAATATTTTGTAAATCGCGGGAAGGTGATATTTTCACTTGTTGAGGCCCTTGGTAAGTGTGTAATTATTGTTATCTTAATTGTTTTTGTTTTCCATTAACGAGTTCCTCCTGCAAGCCCTTTTATATATTCCTCTCCTTGTGTCTGTTGCTTGAGTGTCTTGCATTGCTTGAACATGTCAATTTTGAAGCCTGTTTCATAAAACTTTTGTTCCACGGTTACTGATATGGAAATGGAAAAAAATTAAGAAATAAAAACTATGACTCCGAACAGTTTCGCTGAGCACTAAGAATCATAATTTTGTTGATAATAGATTAGATTACAAGACGTCATCTAAAGTTTGGACTTTTTCTTTGGTTATGTTCAGGAACTGTTGACATCGATTTAAGCTTTTTGAAGGTCATGTATGCTCCTAAATACTTGGCCATACTTTCAATAGACTTACCTATTACAGATATTGTGCATTATCCTTGAAGTAGTACAAGACCATTTTAGTGAAATAAATTGCTAATTTATGGTGCAATGGAGAAAGAACTCTGACATACATGTAGGGCATGTGTGCTCGGTCCATTTAATAAGCTACCTTGTTTTGGATAGTAACTAAAGTAAAGCAAGCCTGATTAAAGGTTTTAAGGGAACCGCTGGCAGTTCATTTATCACATTGATCTTGGGGAAATGACTGAGCCACACGTCTAAGTATTATCTTCACATTGGAGTTAGTTCTTTTATTGGGTGTCTTTGTAGGATGTGCTCTCAATGAGTGCAGAGTTTCTTTACTTTAGCATTCGAATTCATAAGTTTGGCCAATCGATATCCTTTATGCTTAGTGGAATTCACCTTTTTTGGTTTGTCAATAATCATACAAATGGTTGTCGGTGTTCATTCCTTTTTCTTGGAACCTTGTGATTGAACAATAATTTCTAATATGCTAATTGTCTTATTCGAGTGCTGATTTGATGCATTCATGTCATCATTTATGATCTTTTCAAGATTGTTCTTATCATTGCAGCTCCATTTCTAGTCTTGGCCATGTCCCTTTCATTCAAGAAAATATCCTTCTGGTGTAGTTGTACCTCTATGTTCCTTGTTTGATTCGAAGTTATCTATGACAAATGGGTTACAATACATAGTTTTTGGTTTCATTAGTTTATACTCCACTGCCAAAGTCGTGGCGGTTTATTGATGAAAAAGTTTTTGCAAATCTTTTTGGTCTAAGAATCTTCTATTTTGATAAACTTCATTGGTCTTTTCATAAATTTCTAGCATGTCAAAAGTACATACTTTGCCAGACTTCATACCAATTAGCTAATGATACACAGCTCAACCGTGTAGATGTTACAAATTTCTGTGCAATAAACTGGGAAGTTTGTGGACCCGTACTGTTAAAGCAGGGTGAGCAGCTACATAGAAGCTCCTCAAAAAGTTACGGTTGAAATATTGAATGCTCAAATTTGGAAGTTAATTTTCTAGTTATCTTTTTGAGAGCTGAATTTTTCAAAAATATATTTTGGAGTCTGTTTCTGTCTATATTTATCTTGCTACCGCTTTTCAAACTTGTATTATCCTCTTATTCCTTTTTCCTTTGCTTTTCAAAATCCAGAAGCAATTGTTCTCATCCATTCAAGTAAAGAGGAATTTCTGCTATTTTAGAACCTGAGCAACATTGACACCTTATTTGCCAGTTTTGAAATCATGTTCCCAGTTGATCAAGATCTATAGTAAAATAGTTCTCCTTTAAAGGTAACTGGATGTTTATGTGAGATCTGGTCATATTAACTATCATTGATAACTTATTTTTTGTATGGTGAGCTGCATATTGACAATGTATTCAAAGAAGTGGTCATGTATCTTCTTCCCCTCAAAAACATTAACATTATTGTCACCTTCCCAAGTTTTTTCCTAGTCTTGGTACGCTGGTTCCACAGAATATTTATGTGAAAGTAATAACTAGGATAGCTAAGTGAACATTTTGAAGAAAAGAAAATGATAGTTAAAGGAGCAGTTTCCATGTTCTCTAGAAATTTTCTTAGACTTGGCCCTGGTTAGGCAACTGCATACTAGTTTGCAAATTATTGTGAGGGGCATAAAGGTTCTGGGAAAAGGGAAGCAGGAGGGGAAGCAGGTTTGTGAAATTAGGTGAGATGCAACTAATGGAATCATTATTTGGAACACTTGACATAAAGATGTCTGCTGATTTTATAGGGGAAACAGGCATTGTGAATTGGCAGATTGATGACTGAAATAATACACTTGCCTTGTTGTTGATTGATATCTGCCTCAGCTTGTAAAATAGTAGTGTTAACTTGGAACCTCTTCCAGATGTGTGCGAACTATGTCATTCTGGGAGGAGCCGAGTTAAAGCTTTCAACACTAGTTCAGTTACAATTATATTAAGCATTTTGCTTGTAGGGCATGGAAAACTTGGTAAACCAGCTTACGTCTTTGTGATAATTTCATTGGCTTGAAGATTGATTGTTAGTCGCATTTGATCACGTGCTCAGATGAACAATAGCAAATGTCATAAGGATTTGTACCATGATAGGCTTGGACATAGGAATAGTGCTCATCCAAAGATATTTAAGGGGAAAATGCACTTTAAGAAATATCTATTGAGGTCAACTTCCCTGGCTTTAAATGTGTCCTGAAAAAGGAATGTGAAGCTTGGAGGAACAGCAGTTTTAGGGAGAGGCAAAATTCCAGCCTGTTTGGATTGATGCGTTTCCCTAGGCCAATGTGCTCTAGTACTTAAACATTAAAAAACTCCATAGAATTCTATTAATTTCTGTTGTCCAACGGACTTCTTTTCTATACTCGAGCAAGCTATCTGAGATCAGCTCCTTTGCTTTCTGTTTCAAATGTCTATCAAACAATGAGCATTTTATCAAGAACATTGACCTCTTATAGAACTTGAGTATTTATTACGAAAACGATGAGCAATTAGACTTTACCATTGACCTCTGAGCGCTTTTTGGGCAAATGTAACTGGCAAATGGCTGTACTTTTTGGTTGATGTGACAAATTGTCTATTGTGCAGTACTTTTCCAAGAACATTGACTTTTTGTACATATTGCTCTTTTAGATGTTTATCTACTAGGAACGGTGATGTTGGTTTTTGGAATGGGGCTGTATGAGCTCTTCATCAGCAACCTTGACAAGGCAAAATCAATTTCAGATGACAAAGTTACATATACATCAAATTTCTTTGGCTTATTCACTCTAAAGGTCTGTGAAACCTTATTTCCTGCAGATTCAGATTTGAGAACCTTGAGCATATGTAATCAGTTGACTACTCCGGGAATGATATTGCATGAGCGTATAGATAAAGTTACAAATTGCATTACCACAAAAGAAAAACCATAATTAATAGTGTCAATATCTTTTTGATACCACACAAATAGATCAAGTCAGTTCACTTCTTTAGTCTGTCAGTTCAAAACAATTCTTTTTTTGGATGAAAGGTTAATGTGTATTAACTTCTCAAAACTTGACTCTGCTTACACACTATCTCATCTATTACATTCATTATATCAAAACCATCCAAACCAATCAACAGATCTACTATATAAGAATTCCTAGCCTTCCCATATATAATTTCTCAATGTGCCTAACCTTTTTACAGCATCCTCTAACCCTCCACCTCACCTCCTGCTTTACTTGCTCCACCAATACTTCCTCACTGAGTAACTTCCCTCCATGCAGATCAGAATTCCTGGTCTTCCAAACATGATACACAGCTGCAGCCAGAGTTCCAAACACAATGCTCTTCTTTGCCTTTACTGTGTTTCCACACATTCCTTAATCTTGTTTCCCAAACGGAGGTCTGTTCAGGGATTCTCCTGCATTCCAGCCAAGCTTTTCAGTTTCTGTAAAACCAAATTTGAATACTTACACTGGAAGAAAAGATGATCCAAGCTTTCCTCTTCAGCTGAACAGAAATAGCACCATAAGAGGGAATTAATAATGTTCAATCTCAGCATCCTTTCAGAAGACAGTATCCTCTTCTTCAGGATCAACCACAGTATGAAACTGTGTTTGGGAGTATTGTATTTGTTCCACACCACCTCAGCTGCCTTCATTTTCAAACCAGACCCTCTGATCCGTTCGTAACCAGCTTTAGTAGTATACACCCCCTTCTTTCCCCCTGTCCATTGGCCTTGTGAAACACCTGGTTTAATCTGATCTTTAATCTTCATCAATGTTTCCAACACCAAGGAGCACCCTTTGGTGGTTTATAGTTCACTTCTTTAGTCTGTCAGTTCAAAAAAAATTCTTAATCAGTCTTGTAAATGCATTATTTCTTGTTGTTCTTTACAGGACCGACCCCAATGGCTGGGAATAAAATCTGTGGATGAGTTGAAAACAAAATTGGGACATGTAATCGTCATGCTACTTCTTATTGGTTTCTTTGACAAGACGAGGAAGGCGACAATTCTATCGTCTCTTGACTTGCTGTGTTTCGCAGCTTCGGTACTTCTGTCATCTGGGTGCCTGTATCTGTTATCTAAACTCCATTCTGGAGAATAAGAGACTCCTGAACATGACTTCTTGTATCTACTAGTAGTAAAACTCCATTTTAAAGAACATAGCTTCAGTACTTATTTACTTTTTTTTTTTTTTTCAATAAGAGCAAAGTACCAATCTTGTTTTTCATCTAGTTGTAGTTGTTAGGAAGACAAATACTCCCTCCGTTCCATAATTATTGTCCAGTTTTACTAAAATGAAAGATTTTATTTTTGGTCAAACTTAACTATATTTTACTTTAAACAACCGAATGTACCCCTACATAAGTAATTGTTTAACCACTAAGATTTTATGAATAATATTTTTTATTAAGGACAAATGTGTAACTTGATCCATAAAAACTCAAATTGGACAATAATTTTGGGATAAAATTTTTTGGGTAAAGTGGACAATAATTATGGGACGGAGGGAGTAACTAACTTCAGATTCATGACTGTGCGGATAAGAAATACTGATTATATCATGCTCGAGTTAGAGTAGGACTATTAAAGGTGTATCATATAACATCGGAAAGCCACTCGGTCCGGTTGCAGCTAAAAATGCTGTAAGCAATCTGCGCCGAAATTAGGTGAGCAGAATTCATGTTTCAGTTCGCATGTAAATTATTCATACTTTATATGTAAATTATTCATACTTTATTCATTTAAAATCCCAACTTTTTGTTTTTATTTATTATGTTCTTTGGATTAGACATTAAATTCTTTTTATTATAAAATGTCAACCATAGAATTGTTTAGTTCACCTGCCAACTATTATTTTCTGTCCACTTGGGGGGTTTCAATTGACAGCCAAGTAAAAAAAGATACTACTAGAAAAGAAATCGGATTCCTTAAGACCTTTTCTTTTTCTTTATCTTTTTTTTCCATTTTTAAATGGGCTTTTTCCCTTCTTAAAACCTCCTGATTCAACCTCTTTTTACCCTTTAAGCATATACCTAAATTATGGTTTCCAAATAAAAGAAACATCCCCTATAATTATCAATATTCTGAAGCTTACCCTACACGGTTATACAGTTTCTCAGATTGTTCGTCCATAGTTAAGCAGTTATACAAGTATTATTTTTTATAATCAAAGATTCTTGGTGCTTTGAAGTCCAAATAGAAATATGCTTTTAGCTTTTAACATTGGAAGAAGAATTGTTTAGCCACTTTTTGTACTGGTGTTCTGTTTTACATTTGTGTTTTAAAATATGTTTTGAAAATGATTTTAAGAACATGTTTTGACCGGGAAAAAAAAAAACAGTATAAATTTTTTAACCGCTGACAATGTAGTAGCACCGATTGTCTGCAGTGGGGATGTGATGGTGAAGACTGTGACATTCCTTTCCAAGAGAAGTGTGCTCCATTAATTAATGTAGATAATAATTAGTTAATGATATACTCCCTCCGTCCCATAATTATTGTCCAGTTTTACTAAAATGAAAGATTTTATTTTTAGTCAAACTTAATTATATTTTACCTTAAACAACCGGATATACCCCTACATAAATAATTGTTTAACCACTAAGATTTTATAAATAATGTTTTTTACTAAGGACAAATGTGTAACTTGATTCATGAAAAGTCAAATTGGACAATAATTTTGGGACAAAATTTTTTGGGCAAAGTGAACAATAATTATGGGACAGAGGGAGTAAAAAAAATACTCTCATGTTTTGCGGTTTGCCCATGGTAAACCAAAATAAATAAATCAATTTGTTCAGAATTTTTTTAAAGCACAAAAACCTTAAAAGCCACTTCAAAAGTTGCCGTCCAAATAAAAATTCTGAATCTTTTTAGTTTTTACGCATCTGTTGTACTTATTAAGTATAAAGGCGTGAATTGCAAGAGTTTAGGCTGTGGCTCTTTTATTATTTTCATGAAATTCATTTACTTATGCTCTAAAAAGTGTAACAAAACATGGTAAAGTGTTAGTTTAATTAATGAGGGGATAGTAGTTCCAAAGTTTAGGGAATTAAAATAATCTCATTCTAATTATTTCAAATTCAAAAATTCATCTCACGATTTGAATTGCTCGATAATTAAGTCTCATTGACACAAAATTGAGACTTATTAACAGGTATTTTTGTCTAGTTTGGATTTTGACTTTTAGTACACATTTATTAAAACTGAATATCCAAAATATACAATCATTTTAGAATAGAGAAAAAACATTTGTTTTATTTTTTTTCCCTTCACGATTTCAATAAAAAGGAAAGTTTCGGAAACCTTTAATGTGCCAACAATTAGTTGGGGCAGTAAAAACCAAGAAAAATCATAGGTATCGACATATAGTTGTCAATTTTTACGAAGAAAGGTCTTGAGATCAAGTGACACCATAGATATAAAAGTAGATGAATTCACCGATTCCTTATATTTTACAGTACCAATACCTCTGTGGCTCAGGCTCTGTCCCTAAAAACCAGTCCGCAATAAGTGTATTTATTTAATATATAATACCCCACTTTAATTTTATATATATTTCTAAGTTTTTAGTAAGTCTATTATTCCCTCCGTTCTCCAAAATCAGTAGTCTAGATTATAGTTTATGATTTGAACTAAAAATATTACAAATCATAAATTAAAAGATGATTATTTTTATGGGACAAAAAATATATTATCTAGATACAACATGCTTCTTAGATATTGAATCATATGTACTTCAAGGAAAAGATAAAATAAATAAAATTCCTCACTACAGCGCATTAAACGAAACGATAAAAACAAATTCAGCGAGTAAAATTGTTGACTGATGGCTTAACATAAAAATGAGAAAAAAAAAAGTTTTATTTATTTATTTATTGTTGTTCATATTTTTTTCCAGATATATATTGCCATCAGTTTAATGAGTATCACTAGTATTTTTACTTTGTTTATTTTACATGAATGATAATGTTGATATAAATAGGCCATAAGACGTTTAACAAAAGGTAATTAAATCGCACATTAGCTATTATTTTTTTCCACCTATGACCCCATTGATAATCTTTTTTTTTTTTCCCCCCAAATGCTCCCCACCCCTGGGAATTGAAATCTGGCAAGAGCTTGGCTCCTAAATCCTAACCACGGTTGCAACATGCAATTCCTAGCTAATGATGATCAATAGGTTTTGAAGTTGCAAGTCTCGTTCTTTATGTCACAACCCTAATTGTTGGATTATACAGGAGTGTATCTATATATATATATATATGTATATATGTATATGATATATAGCAATCTGTCTCATTAATAACTCTTAAAATTTGGTCAATCTTTTGAAATTCGAAATACTTCTTCCGTTCTGAAATGATTATCTAGTTTAGATTTTCATTTATAGTACAAAGTTTACTAAAAATAAAAATCAAAACTGGACAATAATTTTAGGACCGAGGGCGTAATAAACACCAGAAAAAAAAAATCAAAAAACCCCCCGAAAAGCTGCCTATATTTTTTAACTTTTAAGCTGTCGGAACTCAAATGAAAAGAAAACAGCTACAATTTCACAAAATGTAGGAAAAACTTGCATGCATGAAGTAATTGATACAACCTAGCCCTCCTCCAGGCTTTCCAGTTTCCACTCCATCCCACCAAATAAAAGTAAGAAAAACTTACAGTTATCCCGAAAAATATTGCGACCAAAATTCCTATTCAAATTTACCTGAAGCCAACAAAAAACGAAAAAAGAGAGAGAAAAAAAAAAATCCGGGACGTTTCTTCATAAAAAGCTAGAATTTGATCTTCAGAAAGGACCCGGTGGATCATCATGACCCATACCCGGGCTATGACCGGGACTCGTCGGCCTGAATGCTTGCAGTTCAATCTTCTTATAGCGGTTGTACGAAAGAGTATCAGTTGGTGGAGCTTTTGGACTGCTGATTATGTTGTTTTTGTAGGTAGATGATGAAGAAGAAAAAGAAGAAGGTGCCTTTGGTATCAATCTTGATGAAGAAATCGAGTGGAATTGTAGATTGAAAACCAAGATGATAGTAATCAACATGTAACAAAAAGCCCTTGTGTTGATTTTTGGAGAAGAGGCCATCAAACTATATGGAAAGATGAATCAAGGATGGAATTTTCAATGTAGATTTTTTGAGGCAAAGAAGTGTACACAAGGAGGTATTTAAGGCCATGGAGAAAAAAGGGTGCTACTATATAATAGGTCTACTTGGTTTGTAAAACCAAAAAAAATGTGTCAACGAAAGATTGACGCACATGAAGGCACATTTACATATCGAGGAGATTAATGTAGTAATAAACAAGCAAACATGCGAATATTTCCAAATTTGGTAAGGATAAGGTTTCTTGAGTCATCCCTATTAAGAGAGCTCTGTCACAGCCACTAATTTGAAAGTGATTAAAAAAAAATTAAGGCAGGAAGAAAGAAAAGAAACAAAGGGGGCAAAAGGTTAGAGGGGACACTATGATTTGACATCACAAAAGAATGCCTTTTGTTCATTTCTCTATAGTTCCCGCTGATTGAGAAAGACGGGAGTAAAACACTGAAAAACAACATCCTATATAGTTTGCTATATTGAAAGGTGCCTTTTTCTCAACACCATCCCAATTGCCTGTTGCACCACACTTTTTCTGCCCTTTGTTTATATACACATTTCCGCTAGGCAATTGTGACAAGTTTTTTTTTCGGAAGAGTAAACTGTTCAAACGGTCTTTTACATTTGGCAAATTTTTATTTTTAGTTTTTTATATTAACAACTCACTGGTTTGGTCATTTACATATATTTTTATACTAATTTAATCCTTTTTAATTTTTTTTTGACCCTTTACATTTTGGGATTCTCGGGTTGACTCTTTTTTGGTCAAGTTAACGGGGGTATTTTTTTGGTAATACTAAAAAACCAAAAATTGATTATATTTTAATTTTATAATTCATTATTAAAAAATAAATAAAATCAAAATTCAAAATTCAAAATTCAAAATTTTTTTTCCAAAATCTGAGTTATTAGTTTTTATTATGTGGGCCCCACACGTGATTTCTTTTTTTTTCTTACTCTGTAATTTTTTTCTTCTCTTTCCGATCAAACACCCAACTTAATTCTCAAACCCCTCAATCCGATATTCAAGAAGAAATCGGACCAGTGGCGGAGCTAGAACACAAATTTAGTGGGGGCACATTAATTATAAACACATTTTTTTTTAAAAAAAAGGAATGTTATTTCAAAAAATGTATGAAGAAAGTTACAATGTTCGTAAGGAAATCACATTAGTATAAGAGGTTAAAAAGATTTTTCTTTCTAATGTATGTTTTTTTATATATATTTGAAACATTTTTGTGGGTTAATTTGTATATGTAATGAAACAAATACTTGTCTAAAATTTTATATGATTTAAAAAGTAACAAAGCATACTGTGATAAATATCTGAAAGTTCTTAATCTAAATTAATTAGTGCAACTAGACATTCAGAGGATCAAACTTAATTAGACTGTAT